TTGGCAAGTCACTTAACCTCTCACGCTCTTCATTCTTCATCTGCAAAATGAGGGATGTAGTGGATGTAGTGTAACATATGTAGTGGACGTAGTGTTTTGTAGTGGATGACCTATAAGGTCCCTTCAAGCTTTATATCTATGATCCTATGATGATCCTATGAAGTGGATTAGAGAGTTTCAAAACAAAGTACTATGGGAAGTCTGAAGCTGAAAAGGTCATCATTACTCCTGAGAGAAGGGATAAAGGAAATCTTCAAGGAGGAAGTCACAGTTGAGTTACATTTTAAAGAATGGGGATGGATTAATTCTTGTGAGAGCATGTTCCAACGGAGAAAGGAGCATCCAGTTCAAGTGAAGAAAAAAGGTAGGTAGGGGTAAAATGCACAGAACCTTGAATGGAATCTGACTTTTATTCAGTAGGCAACAGGTAAGTCATGGAAGAATTTTGGAAGATAAACATGAAGAGATTTGTGAATAAGAAAAAAAAGTGATACTCAGTTATATGCAGGATGATTGGAAGTTATGGACTAGAAGTTAGAAATGAGAGGCTATTACAATAATCCAGGAATAAGGAACTTGTACTATAGTAGAAAAAGGGGTGGGGTAGATTTGACATAATGGGTTGAACAGGTTGTAGAAATGTGAAATTGAGGAAAAAGTAAAAATTAACACCAAGGGTTCAGAAGTAGGAGACTGAGGAGTGGTGGTGCTACTGAAAGAAATAACGAAGTCCAAAGAGAGTGATCTTTAGGAGAAAATGAACAAATTCAGTTTAGTACATGTTGAGTTTGCAGTGCTAAAAGGATGTCCAATAAGCAAGTCCTTTAGAATCTCCAGGGCCAGATTTCTACCAAAGTGAATTCTACCAAACATTTAAAGAACTAATTCTATACCATATAAACTATTTGGAAAAATAGGTGGAAAAATAACATTTTTTATGACACAAATATGGTGCTGATACCTAAACCAGGAAGAGCCAAACCAAGAAAGAAAATTATAAACCAATTTCTTTAATGACTATATTAATGCAAAAATTTTAAATAAAATATTAGCAAAGAGATTACAGTAATTTATCACCAGGATAATAATACACTATGACCAGGTGGGATTTATACCAGGAATGCAGGGCAGTTTCAATATTAGGAAAACTAGCAGCATAACTAACCATATCAGTAACAAAAACAATAGAAATCATATGCCTCATCTGCCTCAATACAGGCAGAAAAAGCTTTTGAAAAAAATACAGCACCCATTTCTATTAAAAATACTAAAGAGCATGGGAATAAATGGAGAAAGAAAATGTCCTTCAGAAATTTGGAAATACAGGTCTCATGCACAGAAAAGAGGGGAAGACTTGAGTTAAAAATTCAGGAGTCAATGGCTTAGAGGTATGGAGGGATTGCAATCTATGATGGTAGGGGAGCACTTACACCAATGAAATCAGGGCTCTTTAAAGTACTAAACAATACACACACGAAGTAAAGTTTTCTATAAAGTATTTTCAGAAGAATGACACTGATATACAGTTGTTCTGTACGGGAGGGAAAGGGGGGATGACACATGATCATGAAATCACAAATCAAGAGCCAGAAGGGACCTCACAGGCCATCTAGTCCAACTCTCTCCTTTCACAGATAAGAAAACTGAAGCTAAGGGAAGTTGTTGTTTGCCCAAGGTGACGTAAGTAGTAAGCTATAGAGACAGGTTTTGGATCTAGCTCCTGTGACTCCAGAGCCAATGTACTTTTCATTGTAATGCACTGCCACCCTAAATAGTGGTGGGAGGACTAACTGGGAGAAAATCTTTTATAGAGGTGATTCTTTCTCAATGCAAGAATATAAAATTATTTAAAGAGTTTATTTTAGCCAATGAATAAGTACTATTCATAATAGATGTGCATCTTAAGTTGTCTATAAACCTATCAAAGTTGCCATGAATCTATAAAAACTTTCACTTATTTTGTTCATCCCCTTAACCTACTATCCTACCTCTTTCAACCTTTTTACTCAGTTCTCAGCCCCATGCAATCTTGTTTCTGACAGCAGCACTCCACTGATACTACTGTCTCCCAAGCAACCAATGACCTATTTAATAGGGGTAGGGGGTGATGGGTGGGTGGATGGGTAGTGGGGAAGGAGAGTAATGGTCTCAGTTCTCATCCTTCCTGACCTCTCCACAGTAATTGACATTTGTGACTAACTTCTCCTAAGTCATCTCTCCTCTCTAGGTTTTCATGATCTGTTGTTTGGTTGTCTTACTGGTCCAGGTGTACCTTTTTGGTCTCCTTTGCTGGATTAATATTCATTTCCTGACTTCTAACTAAGGATCTACACTAAGGCTCTATCTTGGACCCTCTCTTCTTTTCTCCCAACATACTATGCCTTCATTATTTCATTAGCTCCCTTGGGTTCAATAGTAATCTCTATGCAGATAACTTCAAGATTTAAATATTTCAGTCCTAGTCTCCTTCCTGAGTTCAAGTCATCACTAAACACCTATCAGACATTTCCCATTCAACAGCATGTCCAGAATAAAATATCTTTACTCCCAAATCCATCCCTCTAACTCCCTTTCCTATTTCTGCTGAGAATACCACTATTTTTCTAGTTACCCAGGTTTGAAATCTGAGTCATCCCCAACTCTTCATTCTCCCATATCCCCCATATCCAACCACTCAACAAGACTGACATCTTTCATATTCATATCCTTCTTTCCATTCAAAGCATAACTACCCCAATTCAAATCCCCTATCACCTTTCACATATGGTAACAGCTTCCTAACTGGTCTCCCTGCCCCAAGATTCATACATTCCAATTTATCCTCCACTCAGTTGCCCAAGTCATATTCCTAATGCACCGGTCTAATGTCACTCTCCTGCTCAAGAAACTCAATGGTTCTCTATCACCAATAGGATAAAATACAAACTCTACCCTTTAGCATCTGAAGACCTTCACAAACTGATTCTAGTCTACTTTATAAACCTTTTATACATTACTCCCATCCACAAACTCTTAAACTCTAAGAACTAGACCACTAACTGTTCCTCCTATATCAAATTCCATCTCTTGTTTCTTCATCTTTGCACAGAACCCATGCCTAAAATATGCTCATCTTCACTACCATCTTATGATCCCTTGTTGCTGTTTTTCAGTTATTTTTGAATCATATCCAATTCTTTGTAACCCCATTTGGGGTTTTCTTGGCAAAGATACTAAAGCATATTGCTATTTCCTTCTCCAGCTCATTTGACAGATGAGGAAACTGAGGCAAACAGGGTAAAGTGACTTGCCCAGGGTCACATAGCTAAGTGTCTGAGGCCAGATTTGAACTCAGGAAGATGAGTCTTCAAACCCAGCACACTACAGCAGCCTTTCCCTACCTCCCCTCAAAGGTCAATTTCCATGCCACCTCCTAACATGACTTCTTTCTCAATCTTCTCAGGTACTAGTGTCTCCCAAAAATTATTTTGTATTTATCTCCTATATATTTTGTATTTGCTGTTATGTATATATGTTGTCCCCCTGATAGAACTCTAAGCTCCTCAAGGGCAGGGACTGTTTTGTTTTTATATCCCTAGTGGATGGCACAGAATTCGGCACATACATAAGATGCAAAATAAACATTAGCTTGTTGATTGACTTGTTGATTCAATAATAATCAGGTCAAAAATTGGTAAGTTTTAACAACTCAAAAAATTATGAAAAATGTTGACCTTGGGTCAAAAACAATCAAAAGAGGGTACTAATTTTTAAACAAACATCTGATTGTTCAACTTAGTATTGACCTAGGAGGGACAGAAAAAGATGAAACTTCTTCAGGTTCAGACAAAGCATTACAAGTCCTTTATTATAACACACCATACTATGCAAAGCACCTTTCTTACAACTAAAAAAAGATTAGGGGTAGATAGTAAAAGCATTACTAAGATAATTTTGCAATGAGAAACTGTCAGCAAAAGCCAAGTGACTGGCTCACAACCACACAGCCAATAAGTGTTGTGAGTTGGAATCCAAACCCAACTCCAAGTCCCATATTCTTTCCACCATACCATAAGGTAATGAGGCAACATCAACTGCCTTAAATTCTCCAGTAATAATGGATGACTACCTTCACTCTGCCATGTGTGTTGGCAATTAGATTGAAGAAAAAATGTTCTATCTACTTTGTAAATTCTGCTTCCATCAGAACCAGAAATGAGTATTATACATGGTAGGGAATCATGATAATGGAAGGAAGGAGCTCTTCCAACTGGTATGTGTTCTTCTTTGTCCTTTCTACTAACATTCTCTCCTGTCTAATTCTGAGTCCAGTCCTCTCTCAGCAGAGAAAATTGGGAAACTGTTGTTTAAAACATAAGAAATGTTCCATTTTGTAACACAGTCAATCAAGAAGGGGGCAGCTAGGTGGAGCAGTGGATAAAAATGGTGGGCCTGAAGTCAGGAAGTCTGAGTTCAAATTTTGCCTTAGATACTGAACTAGCTATATGATTCTAGGCAAGTCACTTAACCCTGTTTGCCTCAGTTTCCTCATTTGTCAAATGAGCTGTAGAAGGAAACAGCAATATACTTCAGTATCTTTGTCAAGAAAACCCCAAATGGGGTCACAAATAGCTGGACATGACTGAAATGAACAATAACAATGAACAAGCATTTATTAATCACTTATTATATGCCAGGCACTAAGATAAACACTAGGGATACAAAGAAAGGCTGAAACAGAGCCTGTCCTCAAGGGACTTACATTCTAACGGGTTTAACAACTTGCAAACAACTCTGTACACATAAGATATATATTGGGAAAATTGTAGGTAACCACAGAGGGAAGACATTAGTATTAAAGAAGACCTTGAAAGGACACTTACAGAAAGTTGCCTTTGTTGTTGTTGTTGTTAGTCCTTCATTCTCAAAGAGGACTAATGACATCAGGAGGGTGACATCTTGACTTGCAAGTGAATTGGGCTTAAGTGAGTCAAAGTCATCAGCCTCACTGTCTCCTCCAGAGTCATCTGAGTCCAGTGGCAAGATACAGATCAGGACAACTGGCAATGGCCCTACATGCAGTGGGAGTCGGGTGAGACTTAAAGGAAGCCAAGGAGGTGGAAGTGAGGAGGAAGAGTATGCTGCCATAGAGGACAGCCAGTGAAAGTACAGGTGGTTTATTACTGATTCTCTAATAATAACCAAGTTTGACTAGAATTTTATGCTATCTTTGGTCTGGGTGTAATGCTTATGAGTGTGTATGGTTTACTTAGATTGTAAAAAAACAAAAAGACTTGGACCTTTTAGCTACTATCATCTCCTTCCTTTCTTTCATTGCCAGGTTTTTTTTTAAAAGCTGCCTAAACAAATGCTTCCTTTTCAATATGATTTGCTTCATGTCCTTGTTATAGTACTGAACCTGCTCCCTCAATAATCACCTGTGACTTCCACATACTCAAATAGAGTGCCCTTTTTTCTGTACTCATCCTCTGTACTTATCCTCCTTGTCTTATCCCCCTACAGAATCTGGCACTGTTGACAACTTCTTCTTCCTTCTGGATGCTCTTCTCAGTTTCAGAAATATGACTCTCCATTCATTTTTTTCCCCAACATCTCTAACTCCTTTCTTTGTCTTCTCATTTTTTCTCTACACATTAATACTGATGTGAGCCTAAGTTCTGTTGTTGGACTTTTTCTTTCTTCTATTATACTCTTACTTGGTCATCTCATTAATTTCATACAAACTGAACACAAGTGTCTTCAGAAGGCTTGGGCTTGAGTGATGTGGTTCCACCAGTGACTAGTCTGGTCAGGTGACTGTGGACAAATCATTTAGTTTTTCTGAGCTTCAGTTTCCTCACATGTAAAATTATCTCTCTCACTGGATTTTTAAGAGAAAAATACACTGTAAATTCTTAAGCATTATATAAATGTGGTATTATTATTGACAAAAACACCCCCCAGAAACTCATGAATTTGTTTCTAATAAATTCCAAAGGTCAAATGAGCAACGTAGCTATCTCAGAGGTTTATTGTATTAAAGGGTTGACTAAACTTGGTTCTTTGGAGGTAAAAGGTAAGACTTGTAAAATTCAAATTCAATTGTGTGTACATAAACTTTTTGGATTAACAATTATGAATGGCCAAAAAATAATCTATAATAAAAAAGAATAACATATCATCTTACTTTTGTTCTCTTCAGCTATTAGCTGGACATACACATGGGTGATCATACGTATTACCCAATCTAGTTTCTCTTTATATTACTTTATTACAAGATAAAACCCTACAGGTTCCACAGCATGATGTAACAATTTGAAATCACTTTATTACTTGACAAAATATGTTTCATTCTTCAAAAATCATACATGAATCTAACATATACACAGCTACTCACAGCACATTCAGACAAGATACCTTATTATTCCCCTTTATACCTTCATTCCAAGATTTACCAATTCCTTGCATGATGCTGTTTTAAACAGATTAAAATTGATTAGGATAATGAACTATCAAGAAATTACCTTAGGACGCATTGCATGGATTTGAAATCTAAAATGGGAAAGGTAACAGACCACAACTGCAAGACCACTAGGTTTTGTAATTAAAATTTAAGGCTTTCAGACTTCCAAAGTATTATATTAGATGAGCCAATTATTATTATAAAAGCTAACTCTCAATTCTGCCATAAAGCTACTGTCTACAAATTCATTTTAAGAGCAGGGAGATGGGATGTTCTTCAAAGGAGAGTGGTAAAAAGTGGTAAGACTTTGACCCAGCAATGCCACCACTTGCTCTATTTCTGAAGATAACTAGGGAAAAAGGAAAGAATCTGTATGTTCTAAAATGTTTATAGCAACTCTCTTTGTGGGGGAATTGGAAATTGCAGGGATGCCCATCAATTAGGGAATAGCTGAACAAGTTGTGTAGTATATGATTGTGATAGAATACTACTGTGTGATAAGGAATAAAGAACTCAATGATTTTAGAAAAACATTGAAGGACTTGCACAAAATAATGGAAGAGAGAAATGAGTAGAACCAAAGGAACACTGTATATAGTAACAGTAATATTGTTTTAAGAACAACTTTGAGCAAATAAGTTATTTTGAATATTATAAATACCCAAATTAACTATAAAGGACATATGAAGAAAGATTCTATCTGCATCCAGAGAAAGAACTGATAAATAGATGTATAATTTTACATACACACACACACACACACACACACATAACACACACCTATACCTATTTGAGTCTAATGGTAATCATCTCTAGGGTGGTAGGGAGGGGAGAAAAATAATTTTGCTGCATATTTGGATGGAATAGCAAGTTGCGCATAACAGATTTGCAACTTCATGTACAATCATCTTTTTTGTTGTACTCTGTTATGGAAATGCTTATTTTATTCCATAAATTAAAAATAAATTTTTTTTAAAGTGTAAGGCTTTTCCACTGAAGTACCAAAAGCTAAAATGTCCAGCATTTTATTTTCAATGCCTCCAATACATAGACCCGCAACAGACACTGAAACTAGCTTCTTGAGCATTTTCTTCAGTGTCACCTATGAGTGCTATCAATTACTAAATTGTTGAATAAGATCACCAGTAAGATACTCATAGAACTCAGCCACTCCTCAACACAGCCAAGCTTAGTACAAAGCAACTATACCAGGTAGAACAAATGCACATAAATAAGATACCTAAATACTGAGTACATGGCAAAATGAAATAGACAACTGCAGAAAGGCAGGACAAATTATAAAAGTTTGACAACTTCTACAATACAGCACATTTATGTAATTCTGGGAAACAAAGCCAACAGGCAGATCTATCTAGTAAACAGAGATACCTTGGCTCCTTTCAGGAAGGATGATGTTTGGCTTATGTAACACAAAGGCAGAGTCACAATGAGGAGTCAGACTAAGAGGAGTTAGAAGTATAAGCCAAAGGAAAATCTTCACATGCATAGAGAACATTTAAAAGACTGCTGATCCTGTGCCAGTATTTTTATCTGTGCATGGACAGGAACATCATCACTCTCAATCATAAAGGATGGAAAATAGAATTAATCATATTTCATTCATTCAACAAACATTTATCGAGTGCTTAATAGATGAGAACCCTATGCTATTGTATTCATTCCTAGTACATTTCCCTGAGATTGCTAATAGATATGGCTCTCAGACAAATTTTAAAGCATTAGATTTTCATGAGGAAAACTGTTTGGGGACAATTGCTATTGCACACTGGTTACAGAGATTCAGTAATTTCAATTCCTCTCAACCACATATACAACATATACTCTTTCTGTCTTTTTTGTTCAGATATATTTGCGACCATTCCAAGGAAAATTACATATTCCATTAACATGTGAGTTCCTCTCAGTCACCCTTTCAATGTTTCAGGGTAATGACAGAGTATAGAATCTTGTTTCACAAGCTTGCCTTTTTTTTTCTTTTGGTAGGGTTTCAACTGCAAATCTTCAGTGCCAAGAAGCAATGGGTAGTGTCTAATGCTCTTCTCCATCTACTAGTAGTGCCTCTTTAAAAACAACAACAACCAAAATACAAATAAACCAAGGTTAAAATAAATTAGTCCAATTCTCATTTACTCTGACCGTTTTCTTCTCCAGCCCTTCCCTCCTCCTTCCAAATCCACTTTGATGACATTTGGGAAACGACACAGCACTTTTAATAATACCAAACTGTTTGCCACTTCAAGAACTTTTTCTTTTCTAACACAAATGTTCTCACAGTGATGCTATATGGCTACAAACGCCAGAACACCATAACCTCGGCTGAAACAAAATTACAAATAAACCCAAGGGCATGGAAAGATTCATGCTGCAGAATGTAAGGAGGCAGCAGCATGTTACCAATGACAGATAATATGTAACAGACAAAAGGAAAATTACTAAGGTTACGTATGATCACAAAAGGAAGTAAGCTGGCCATGAATGAAGAATGGAAGATGATGGATGGACAACTTGAGTGGCACGCTGGTATGCCAGAAATGGCAAAAGAATAAAAAAGAATCTACCATTCACTGGCTAGATTCTTTATGAAGATTAATGGGAAAATATAGGAAAGACTTGACAGAATGAGGTACAGAGAGACTGCAGATCACATTTATGATGAAATCATAAAGTCTTCAAAGTATTAAATAAGAGAGGGCAATAAGCCTCATCTTAATGTGTAAAGATACTAAAGTTACCTTTTATCTCCTGTAAAATTTAGTAAAATGGAAAAAAATATATCATCCATCTAAAACACTAGGAACAGCAAATAAGGTTAAGATTAGCTACAGTGCTTTCCTCAATTTCTCACGAAGCTTAGATACTGCAGTATAATAGAAAAAGTACTGAATTTAGAACCAGGTACCGTGGGATCAAATTCCCATTCTTCCTACCTATATGAACCTGGGAAAATCAACCTCTTTGGGACACAGTTTCCTCATCTATAAAATGAGAGGGCTGAACTAAATGATATCTTATGTTCCAGCCAAGTCAAATCTATGATAACTCAGAGGTCAAGGCTGTTTCTGAGGTCAAAATTAACAAAGAACATGTACAACACATTGAATCTACCTGCTGAAGGAAACAAGGGAACAAGTAAGATATTTATAGCCAGAAAACAAAAATCTTATCAACTTACAAAATGACACTCAGAAGCCATCATTAGTAAAATGATGCCCACCTAAATGCTTTCAAGTGGTGAAAGCTCCCTTCTTTATAACATTTGCTGAAGTCTCTTCTGACGCTACCTTCTTTAAACCCAGCATTTCTAAGGTACTTAAATAATATGAGGCCCTTTTTCTCTAGCTCACTTTTATTTGGTTATCTTTTTAGGTGCACTAAAGATTGAGTTTACAATAAACTGAACAGACAGCATACAAAAGGCTTTTAGAACTATACCATATGGTCTAGGGAAAGGAACAATCTGGACTATCCCCATTTCAATCTGCAGGCTTGTCCACCTCTATAACACATTATAGTGCTGTAATAAAATATTAAGATAGAAATGCAAAAGTGAAAATAATCTATCTTTAGCATTACCAGGCAACTGCACTTCCTAAAATTTACTGATAAATTTAATAAGTCTATACTTTAATTTATATTCTGGGATTTTTGGTATGCAGCACCAGACACAGGAACTTGGGCCCCTATTCATTGGAAACAATATTTCGGCAGGAATATGTGTGGGTATTCAACTTATGCTTCAGAATTTTTTTTTTAAAAAACAGTTTTACATGGGGCATATTGGCAGGGGTTTATGTAACAGATGACACATTCTTGGAAATCAAATAAAAGCAATAGGGAAATACCCATTGTTGCCTAGTGAAGGCCTAATCACATGGACACAGCTGGAACCAATGTAGATCATTCATTAATAAAATTGTATTGTAGTACCCAGTTTTTGATGCATTTCAACTGCTGTGATAGCCAAACCATTAATTTATTTGTACTAGCTATATATTAATGGATTGTTTTTAATAGGAAATACAAGAAGATTCAGAGCAGGCAAGAAAAATCCTCCAGCATCAAATGAAAATAACTCAAAATGCTAGATATCATTTTACCTTAAAATCTACTTATATCATCAGCAGCTTAAGATATGCAGTGTAAACCTGAAAGAGAGAATTCATATGGTGCTATGGCTAAAAAGTGAGCAATGTGAAAAGCCATAGAAAATATCTGAAATACATGGGAATCTGTATGTAGTCTGCAGAATAAAATGATGAGGTATGAAAAGAAATCAGAAAAGTTTTCCAAAATTTTCAAAATTCCTAAAGTTGAATTAACATGAGCTCTTTCACCTAACACTCTCTTCTGAATTTTGACACTAAACTCTTTATCCCATGCTTAAGAGAAGATGCCTTGCATTTCTGACAGGGTAAATTTAGTAACCATTAATGATTACAGCATCCTACTGCCAACAATCTGATATAAGCCTAAGATACCCTAACCACCTACTCATGAGCTATGCTCTGGAATCTGGAGCCATATTTAAATTAAAATAAAGGTAAAAAATATTACATCTAATTATTACCTTACTATATGCATTTTAGCGATCTCCTCAGTGGATTTATCGTTCCCATACCTGGCCTGAAAGAACATATTTAATACCTGGCACTTTTCTTGAAAAAATTTAAATAGCATAATAAAAACACAAAATGCCACAGCTAAATTTTCTTTTAAAAAATGAAATTCCTAAATTAGCTATCGTATCTTGAAAATGTCTCTTCTACCTCTATAGTATTTTGTACAAGCAGATGCAACATTCCAGTTACTAAAAGCATATCACCTTTGCTTTCGGTTCATATGTGGTGATAAGAATAACAACAATATACTTGACAAGCTGTGTTGCTTGTCTTTTGACCCTAGAAGGTATATTCTTAATACAGAATAATATAGAAACTTTGCCAGGACTTAAGCTAAAGCAATATATTTCAAAGATGTTAAAAAAAGGCACCAGTGAAGGGGCAGAAAAAGTCCTTAATATTTAATGGGCACTGAGTGTGCGCGCGCACACACACACACACAGAGCACCTTAAGTACATCTGTTTGCTGTTATGTTTTTGCTTTGGTATTTTCAGAGCAAACTATTAAAGGACCTTGACACCTTGACAGTGTGTGAAGAAAGTTAGGCTGTCCTGGACCCAGGAGATAAACGGTTTCTTTAACATTCCTTATTGTCATATTTCAAAGCCCCAAAGTATTAATCCATTAATATAACTCAAGAAGATCTCACTCAGCTTCATTTCAACAGCCTCAAATTATTATTACCAGCTCTGGAAGTTGCATCCTTCTTCTAGTACATTTACAAGGGCTTAAATGACAGAAATCCACCTAAATGCATGAGTTTTTTAAAGGCACTAATGGGGGTGACGTAGGGACCAGGGGGAAAGAGAACCCTAGTATTCATTTAATGTATTTTGAGAATACAAAGCAACTTGAGTATTTCTGTTTTCTTAAAATAATGAGCCAATATGTTGCTGAACCTGTCTTTAAAATGAGAGAAAATAACAGGTGAGTTTATTTAATATGGACAACTGATTTATCTATATTTTTAATCTATTTGATAGTTTTAAAGACTTTTCCAAATTAAAAATAAATCTGGAAGGAAAAAAAAAAGAGCCATTAGGCTAGAGACATTTATCTTAATGTATCCATGGTAGATATATTTCTCAGAATATATGGCATGTAAAAATGTTTCACATTAATAATTCTAACACGAACGACTGTTTACTTTCTTTTCAGTCACATTTGTTACACTGTTACAAAAATACATGAGTATTTACTACTAAAGTAATTTTCATTATTGCCAAAAACCATTGACAATTTTAAAAATAAAACTGAGTCAAAACAATATCAATCTTTCATTTCTAAAAAAGATTTGAGTCTCCATATTTAGGTATTCTTTTAATTATGAAAAGGCTGATTTTAAAATATATCACTCAGAAAGTACCACTCATGAGGAAATAATTTTTATTTAATAAAACAAAACATGTTTATATTTTGATTAACATTCTAAGAAATTTCATAGAATGCTTGCTCATACTGAAAATATAGCCTGTGTTCTCTAGACCATCTCCACTCTCACATTTTCATATCCCTTCAGACTCTAAAGGATAGTATTAGTTGTAGCTGGTTATTAAAGAGACAAGGTGACTTAAGTATTTTATGATATTTTAGCTGGCATTTGAATTATAAGGAAAAAAAGTACATCTTAGAAGGCATATTCCTTGACTTAACTGGAGATTACCTGCTTATTCACTAGATACTTATCTCCTGACCTGAATATAATTCAATCTGTAAGAAGGATGTGTTAACTCTGGACTATAATTTCAAAAATTTTAAAAATGATTTTTCGGCCCCTTTGACAGAATTCTTCACATAAAAGTTATACAGTTCATACAAATAACACTCAAAATCTTCAGTTCAAATGATGAGATGTGAGGTAGACAAGATGCCTACCAATCAAAATGTCTGTCATGGAACTATTATCATCAAAATAAACAATACTCAGAGAGAATGTTCAAAGAAATTCCAGGCAAAGCATTGGCAGGGAAGGAGCTTTGTAAGAGAGCTCTTAACTCTGAATAAGCTGGAAAAGGCAGAATTTAGCACAATCTTCTGCAAGAAACAATGTAAAGGCAATCTGCCATTTACTAAATGTGGAAGTTGTGTAGAGAATGATGTTTCTATTTAAGAAAATACTTTATTTGACGGTTGTGGTCTGAGTGAAGAAAGAGAGGGAGACAAGAAGGAACAGAACTGGTAGAAGTAGGCGAGACTGAGGCTGCTAGCTGTTAGTGATGCTGTGAGGGTAGACCCCTCTGCCTAGGAAAACTGTTGCCAGAACTGGGCTGCACAAAACATTTTGGCTGCCAGCCTATAGCAGCACCAGGCTGTTTTTGATTTTTGTGCTAGACTCCCTCAATTGAGACAGTGTGGGATTGTCACTTTGATGCACATAAAGAACAAAGAATAATGTAATACGGGGGGTAGAGTGTATTTCCCTCCTCCCCACTTTAAAGCCAGGTTAGCATTTTGTTTTCTGTGACAGGTCTTGAAAGGCCCAAGAAATACAAGTTATTCTGAAGGAATACATCCATTTACTGAACAAATTAATGCAAGTAAAAATTT